TAGATTGAGCAATCTAGAGTTCACTGGTAATCTTGGAGTGAGCAGTTTCCATTGAGTGAATTGAACAATAGGTTTTAGTCAGAAGAGGAAACAGGGTAGTTACCTCAGGCTTCAAAGCTCCCTGTTCCGCTACAAATTGCACTGTATTGATTCCTGGGGGGGGTACCCTTTTTTCTGTTGGCCTAGGGCTCCCACCTATTCTGAATGTGCCTCTGGGTCTACTGAATAGTGATTTTTGGTCAGCCAATCAAACAGTCAACCAACCAATCAGTCAACAAACATTTATTAAGCTTTTACCATGTCCCTGTCAATGTGCTAGGTGCTGGAGAAACAAACTGAAAAGGAAGACCCTAAGTTCCAGTAATGACAATGTTAAGGGAGGCATTATGGTGTAACACTGACTGTAAAGTCAAAGGATCCGTGTCGATATCCTGTCTCTGATGTTTACTGCCTGTACGACCTTGAGCCACACACTTTCCTCCCTGGGCCTCAGTTTCCTCATCTGTAAAATGAAGGATTTGTACTAGATGATTCCTCCAGCTCCAGATGGATGAGCCTATTAACCTATGGGGAGGGCACCCTAATAGATGAAGGAGGACAAACCACTCCTCTCAAGCTGTGTTCTCATCCTGGCTTACCCCAGGATCAAACCTAAAACAGCCTCTCCCTGCCCTTCACACTGGAAGGTGTCCCTGCCTGGCTGGTTGCCTGTGCAGCCTGTTTAGGGGTAACTCTACACTGTCGAGCTTTCTGCAGCCCATAGTCTAAAATACCCAAGAGATTAGAGAGAGCCAAAGAAGAAACTGCTTCTCCTGTCTGCTGCCCCCAACCTGCATCCCAACTTCCACCTTGCTAAGGAATGGTTTCCTAGACTTAATTAAGATTAACCATGCTTTGTTGTCTCTTCCTGACCCACTTGTACCCCCCCCCACCCCTCCTCCATCCTTTTCCCTGCATCTTTTGGCTTTCTCTAGATGGGTAATTTTTGCAATAGGGCTTCATCCTGAGAGAGAGGTAGATAGCCTCCAACCATGAGAAGATGCCTCTCCCCACATCCATCCTCTCTCCTCCATTTCCCTAATTCAATAGTACCGAGATTCACACATCCACTTCGCTCAGAAGAGGCAAGAGAGCAGGGTCCTCATCCCCGTGCTCATGGCAGACGGATCCTCCATGCTGCTCATGGAGATTGGAGTTGGTATTGATTTTATTGGCTGTGCATGGCTTAGCTATGGGGCCTTGGGAGTTAGGACTGGCATTGGAAAGGTCACAGTCCAAATATGTGCCTTATTGGGCAAATGTGTGGCCTGTTGGTGGTCTATAGCCCATACTCTACCAAAGGGGATGGTTTTAAAGGACCTGGTGACCATTTAAGGATCGTGCTAAGGAAAACCAAAGAGACACTTCAGGAGACAGCTGTGTAACCCTAGCTAGCTGGTCTGGCTGCAGAGAGCCAGCCCTGGGGGTGTTCCAGGATGGTGGGGAAACTCTTCTGGGAAACACCAGATGTGCATTTGTCTCCTTCAGAACGGGTGTATTTGGCAGCTGCTTATAATGGGTCTCTGTTCACACCCAGAGTATTTAATTATTTACCAGCTTGGAGCTGCTAAAAATATTCTCCATCCCCTCCCCCCGAAGGGTGCAAGCTTTTACACACATGTACTTGCCTGTGTGTGCACGATGTCTCACACATGCTCCCATGTCTGCTCACACAATGAAAATCACCCTTCTTGCACAAGGGAACACCACAGCCTCCAAAAGCATAAATGGCCTTTGTGTCCCTGGACCTGGAACAGGCCCCCCGAAGTCTCCCCTCCATCATGGCCAGGCCCTCCTGGTGAGGAGAGTGGCCTGGTGGCTGGCGGCAGACTCCCCAGGTGGCCCAGCTGCCAAAGTTAACCTCGCTGGGATGGTAGGGTGGCCAGCATTCCTCTGTAAAACCTACTTTTACTTGATGGTGCAGCAGCTGTGGGATGGAGAGGGAAGGAGGGCTGAAATCCTTAAGGACAGCTGAGCATTCACTCCATGCTCAGGGGAGAGGAGCTTGGACTCCTTGGGATTTCTCTGAGCTATCTTGGGAAGGGTCCTGCTGGCCGGGCCACCCAGGCAAAGCTCCCTTTCAGGCTGCACTCACTTATACCTATGCCTTCTTTGTTCACACAGGGGTAGGTACAAGGATACTCAGGGAGGACGGGCTCCTACTTTGAGACAGTATTCACTTGGCTTGTGTCTTTTTTATTTATTAGATAGATCTCTATTAATACCTTTTGTTTCTACATTGTCTAGATTTCCTCCTGTATCCCTTCTCCTCCCTGGTCTCAAAGAGTCACCCCTTATAATGAGGAGAGAAAGGGAGAGAGAGAGAAAGAAAAGGAAGTAAAGAAAGAGAAAGAAAAGAAAGGAAGGAAGGAAAGAAAGAAAGGAGGGAGGGAAGAAAGGAAGGAAGAAAGAGAAAGTAAAGAAAGGAAGAAGGAAGAATGGAAGGAAGGAAGAAAGGGAAAGGAAAGAAGGAAGGGAATGGAAGGAAGGAAGGAAACTTCTAAGGTGAGGAGGCTTCTGTGGCATGGTAGAGAAAGTCTAGTGTCAGGTATGGAGCCCAGAGGGGAGCCTAGCTGAAGGACCTAGGGATGTTAAGTGGGAGGGCAGGTGCATAGGGATGGGATATGATAGCTGACTTACAGCATTAGAAGGCTGCCATAGGCTGTCACGACCTTTACTCTGCTTATGTCCAGAGGGCTGAGCTAGGGGCAGATTTTGGCTTCATGTTCGGAATCTCTTCCTAAGGATTGGAGCTGTCCAGAAAAAGGACAAGCAGCCTTGGGAGGCCAGGCAGTGCCCCTCATGGGAGGTCTTCGGGCAGAGGTGTCAGGGAGAAGACTTCTGTTTGGATACAGGTTGAATGAGGTCACCTTTGAGATCCTTCTCAATTCAGAGATTCTGTGATTGATCACAAGAGAACCGAACTCCATGCTGTGGAGACACCTGCCCCTCCCACCACGAACTGTGAAATATGCCCCACACGTTGAGGCCTGACTCTCATTCTAGGGGGAGAGGGCAAAAGTATAATCCAAATCTACCTCTTTCCTCACCTTTCCAATCAGTCCCTTAAGTATTAATGGTTAACATTTAATAAACCTCACATTCATATAATTTTTAAAAAGAATTGCAAAGCACTTTACGTACATTAATCTCATTGAATCCTCGTAATGACCCTGGGTAGGTGTGATCATAACCCCCAAGTTATGAGAGGAAATTGAGATCGAGTGACTTCCCAGGATCATACAGTGTCTGAGCAGAATTCGAACCCTGGTCCTTCCTGAATCCAAGAGCAGCCCTCTAGCCACTATGCCACACTTCCCGTCAGTATCCTCTTGTCACCTTGGAACAGGCCTTGTCATGGTTTTCCCCGAAGCAGGAGGCTGTGGTCAGTTAGGTACTTGTTCACCCCCACATCTCGTCTCCTACTCATTAATTTTCCTTCCAAACCTAACTGGGTTGTTTGCCCTGAAGCTTCAGATTGACAGACATTGCCAAGGCAACTGAAAGCAGACTGCAGAGAAATCGTTGGGGGGCGGGGGGAGGCCTGGGGCGCTGTGTTGGAGGCAGAGACTGACTTCTTGTGTATCATCATGGATTCTCAAAACCAGTCTCCAGAGAGCCCTTCTTCAGGGTGAAGTCAGCAACAGTGGTCCTCCAGGGGCATGTGAGGACTGTGTCTAGCAAGTATGGGCAGCGCCAGCCCATTGGGCTGGGTCAATGAGCATGGCCCCATTGGGAAGAGCCTCCGAGGATACAGATTCCAGAGGGCTGGGGGAGGGGGCAGCTTCTCTCTTCCCAAACCCTGGGAAGCTAGCGGCCAGATGTCCAAGCAACCTATGGAGGGGTCTTTGCCTGGATGAATTGATTAGCCAGAAGCTAAGATAGCCACTAGGTCCTTGTTACTACAGTATATTGAGAATTACCTATAACTTAAGTAGGTTATGAGTAGGTCCTTTCAGGCTTGCAAAGTGATTTAGAGATTTTACCACTTTTGACTACCCTGGCAGGTACTATTGTGCTGTTGTATGCTATGCTGTTATCTCCATTTTACACATGGGGGAACTGAGGCCGAGAGAGGTAAAGTGACTGAGGCAGGATCTGAACTCAGATACCCCTGATTCCAAGTCTGGCACCACCCTAGCTGCCTCCTATCCCCCAGGTACTCTTAACTTCTCTTTAAAGCACTATTAGAGCCTTACTCTTTCCTTGGCTCACCCAAAGCCTTTCCTGGCTAGCCCACCTTCTTCTGGCTCATATGTTTAGGGCTTGCCTAAGATCTCATGGTAATGATAAACTGGGCCCTGTTTGGCTCCTCAGGGATTGCCCCATTTTTTTAAATGAGGGGAGGAGACTGGATAAGAAGCAGCCAACTTACTTCATGAATACTGAGAAAAAGAGAAATGGAAAGAACGGCAGGGAGAGGCGGAACCATGCCATTAAAGACATTTCTTTGAAGACTTTGTGACCTCCAGAAGGAGCATCTGAAGTAGGCTTGGATTATGTACCTTGGATTATATCCGCTGGGCCTCTTAAGGCCTCTATTTGGGTGGTGCCGTGAGCACAATGCTGGATTTGGGGAGTCAGGAAGACATGAGATACTCGGACACTTCCCAGCTGGGCAAGTCACTTCCCACTCTCAGACTTGCTATCTACTTCTGTAAAATGGGGATAATAACAGCACTTACCTCACAGGTGTTGTGAGAATCAAATAACGTATGCAAAATGCTTTGTAAATCTTAAAAGTGCTATAGAAATGTTAGCTGCTATTATTGTCATTATCATTATCATTATTATTATCATTGCCATTGTAGTTACCTCTAGCCCTATTCAGAGAGGACACCAGGTGTTAGTTCTAGTTCTTCAAGACTCCCCCCCTTGGGTCTTTTTGGCTGTATGAGGATTCGGGTCTGGGGAGCTTAACGCTGGTTTGGCACTTCTCCGTCTAATGCCTTTGATTTCAGAACTGACTAAAGAAATCCAGTCGTCGCAGACAGCTTTGGTAGTGCCAGGCCATGGCACAGGGGAAGAGTCCAGCACCCCCCTGGGAGAGGAGGAGGAGGGAGGGATTCCCATCCCTGCTCCTGGGCTCCTACAGGTCACCGAGAGAAGGCGTGAGTATGGATGGTCCTTGCTTACCTGGCCAGTTCTCATAAGGCTTCCTTGGACTCAGTCTTGGGGCCTAGCACATTGTAGACTCCTGGGATGACTCCAAAGCTGATGATGTCACGGGGAGTGTTGAAAAGATGTGGGTGATGTGGCAAATTTGGCCTTGGTTTAAGAGCTAGTAGACCTAAGTTTGGTTCTTGAGGACTGACTCAGGACGAGTGGTTCTTTTGGGGCCCTTATTCAGCCTCTATGGTAAAAACTCAGCCAGGCATCCTCAGCCAAGGTCTGAGCTACCAGAAAACACTAGGGTCACCTCCGTGGAGACCCTCTTCAGCTGTCTCACTGCTGTGGTAGGGAGAGACCTCCTTGCAGACTATAATGGGGATACGTAGGCTCCCAAAGGCCCTTCAGCCTTGAAGTTAGAAAGGCTTCAAGGACAGATATAGCGACAGACTCACCATCTGTGAGCCCAGACCAACCTAGCCAAATCTGGAGAAACTTATGGCCAGCTTGGCTGCAGGATAATGAATTTTTTGGTGCCAGCAACTCCCCTAAATGATAAGGGGGGTTGGGGAGGGGACATGTGTTCTGTATCAGTGGTGGGAGGATGGATGCTGACAAAATCTTAGCTCTCTGAAGTAATAATCTTGCCCATCAAGGAGGAGGATGAGGCCTGGTGTCCTGGATTCTGACCATGGGGTTTCCCCATGATCCCATCCTGGGCTCCCTGTCAAGTTTTCAGCCTGCTCAGTCCTTGGCTGAGGAAGGACATCAGCTTGAATCTGGGCTCTTTCATGCTGTTCCCAGAGACAGAGCCTTTGCCAGGGCAGGCATCAGATTCGGGCTGGGGGTACCACGAGCTTTGCCACCTCTGTTTCCTCTCTCTTTCTCTCTCCCAGAACCTCTGAGCAGCGTCTCCTCACTGGAGGTCCATTTCGATCTCTTGGACCTTACGGAGCTGACAGATATGTCTGACCAAGAACTCGCTGAAGTCTTTGCAGACTCAGATGATGAGAATGCTGCAAATGAGTCTCCAGCAGGTAAGAGGGATAGAGTTTCAAGAAATGGGGAAGAGGTAGTGAGGGTCAGCTTCCCCCAGAAGCACAATAACCCTAGAAATTGGGGGAAGAGTGAAGGGCACTTGGCTTTGGGGAGGGAAGTGTTAGCTGGCCAAACCCCTCATCGCCCTTCCTTGGGATCATAGTTTGGTTATCGCGATGACTTGGTTTGCCCTGGGTTAAAGGCCCTTGGGGAAGCCTCACTGACTGTTCAGAGATCCAAAAGGCCTATTTTTGCAGCTGCTTCTCCTCGGGCCATTCCTAATTAATGGACCCACAATTACTAGGCTCTTTCCTCAACTTAGGAATTTGCTTTTTGACATGAAAGAGAGGGATGATATATTGAAAGGGCCACTGGGTTTGGAGTCTGAGGATCTCATTTCAAAGCCTGGTACTATCCATAGAACCATGGGCAAGACAGTGGGCCTCAGTTTCCTTACCTGTTAAATGAGGCGATCGGTCTAGATGGGCTAAATTTAAGGTCCTGAGACTTCAAGTATTAAACCTTGAATTTTACTAGCCTTCTAAAAAGGCACTTGCCTAGGAAAATAAACCAGGCTTGCTTCATGAGCAGTAAAAACAAATTTAATTCATTCTGCAGTTTCTACAGCTCTCGGGGGTACGTTGGGTCTTCTTCAGCAGGTAAAGTTCTTCCCCTCATGTGCACGGCTACCTTGTTAAGTGTCCTCTAACCTGGGATGGCCTTGTTAGAGGTAGGCAGGCTGTCTTGGCTCTGTGCTCACGTGGGTGCTGACTCTTTGCTCTTTCCTCTTCTAGCTCTAGTTTTCACCTGCCACATTAGGGTACCAGCACCAACCTCTCTCCCCGACTCACATATTTTCCAAGCTGACCCTCAACGCCAGGACTTCCCTGTGGCGCCAGCCATAGTCTCCAGCTGCCTCTGAAGCTGTTGGGCTGTGGGGGTGGGGACTGCAGAGAATCCCACAGGGAGAGCGAAAAGAGCAGCTTTTTTTTTTTTTTTCTCTCCAGAGAATTCAGTTTCCTCTAAAGCCAGCCCCTCAGCCCTGGCCTTCCTCCCTCCTACCCCTTCTCTTCCCAACCTCCTCTGAGCCCAGAATGAAATCAAGGGGCTAGTAGAGCTGGGTTCTGCTTACTCAGTCCCACCAGAGGCTTCATTAAAGGCAACAGCCCTGCCATGAATCAGTAACATTTGATGGGGGATCTCAAAAAGGGACAAACTGCTCCTCATTCTACATTTCTTGTGGTCCTTCAGGGAAATGTGTGAGCTCCACATCCATAGTGGGCTTGGGGCTGGAAGTATAGACGTGGAGAATGACCCACTCACACAGAATGTTCATCTTGGCTGGAATTTGGGTATGCCTGGGAGAGTTCTTTTTCTCCAAGGTGGGCCGTTGGCAGAGAGCAGGGGGAGTTAGGGCCCTGACATAGCTCCTCTGTCGCTCAGGGGAGGGCAACGTTTCCACTGCCCCATTCACCTACCAGACAAACCGCACATATCTCTCCTTTGATTCACACCAAGTAACATGCACACATACACACACTTCTCTGAAGGTGCATAAAAAGCTTTTAGCCAGCTGGCTGGGCTATCAGAAGCAGTTAGCAATGGGGAGGAGAGAGCTAGCCCTGGAAATCCACACAGTTCTCCCTTATCCTGCTTCTCTGGCCTTCAAGGTAGCAAATCAGCCTTTGGATTTGACACAGGTTTTGATTAATCTGGCTTGTGGATGGTGTGGCACACACTCTCTCACACACACACACACACACACACACACACACACACACACACACACAC